GGGTTTTGGGTAACTGTGTGTTTTAAGATACACAGAAATCTACCATTGTAACATGACAGTGCAGTGGCATCGAGCACACTTCCAATGTTGTTCAGTCATCACTACCATGGGATTCCAGAAGTCTTTTATCCTTTAGCACCTTCAGCAGAAACCCCTAAGTCGCCACACCCACTCCCTGGCCCCTGGCACCCACCAGTCTGCTTTCTGTCACAAATCTGGACTTGTCTGTCCTGGACATGTCATATAAACAGAGTCATGCAATATGTAATCTCTTGTCTGACTCTTTCCCTGAATTTTTTTTTGAGGTTTGTCCCTATCATAGCATACACGCTGCAGCACCCAGACTCCAAGGTCAGCAAGGACATCCTGTTTCTGATACATAGTATACGAGATAGTCCCCTTGGTGTTTATACCCACAGATACCCTCACTCACTTGTTCAGTCACTCACTTGTTCACTAACCAGTCAGCACCCAGTCAGGCACAGGGGGAGAGGGATGCAGGGTGCTGGCAGACTTGGGGGAAGGGAATAGGGTCTGCAGAGTGTCTCTGCCTTTCATCCCCGCCCACCCAGCAAAGGCAGTCACAGGTTCTCCATGAGTCTGTAGGAAATACCTTTTTTTTTTTTAAGATTTATTTATTTGTGCATACAGAACTGCGGTACAGGCCAGAGGCTCAACGGTGGTGAGAGGCTTCACCAGAGACAGAGTGGGGAGCAGAACAGGCAGATCTATGAAGTACACTGCTGAGGGGAGCAGCGGGCGGGCCAGGAGAGGTCTGCCGCGCCATGTGGTCACCTCCGGGGCAGGCGGGAATCGAACTCATGCGGAAGCGGCTTTAGATTCTCAGTGCTGGGCTTTAACCCACTGCGCCACCAGGGAGGGCCTATAAGAAATACCTTTTATAAACGCTGTGGGCACCGCATGTTTCAAGTCTTGCAAGCCCACTCCCCACACACTCCAGAGGCGGCAGGTACTCACGTGCTATAAATACTGCTTTGGGCAATCAGCGTCTGTCCCCACCGCCAAGGCTTCCAGAGCCAGGTCACCTGTGGCACCTGGGGCCCTTGCCATAACTGGTGCCTTGAACCCAAGCTCCTCAAGGTGGTGGCTTGGGGTGCTGTGTGGGTCTGACAGAACCCTCCTCTGGTGGTAGCAGTCGCCTCCCTCTGTCTCCTCAGCAGTGTGTATCAGCTCTCATTCTGAGGGGAACGGGCTTGGGGGAGTAGAAAGCAAAGGTGGGGAGTATGAGCATATGAGACAGGCTGGCGTAACTCCACAATCTGAAACGCCTGCTCTCTTCAGTCTCCTCAGGCGTGTCCAGGACAACCCCGTCTGAGGGGGTACAGGCAGGGCAGGGATTCCCAACTGACAGAATCCTCACATCACAGCCTGTTGAGCAGGCTCTGGCTTTGGTGAAAGTGGAAAAGCCACTGTGTGGTTTTCCTATCACTGCTGCCACAAATTACCACAAACATGGTGACTTCAGATAACACAAATCTAGTCTCGTGGAGTTCCGGAAACCGGAGTCCACCGAGAGCACCAGTGCTGGGTGCTGGCAGGGCTGGCTCCTTCCGAGTGCCGCTGCCTGCCTCTCCCAGCTCCTGGCGGCCATGTTCCCGGCTCCTGGGGTGCCACTCCTGGCCCTGCAGCTGCCCGCTCATCGCCTCCCACCACCACCACCCCACCCCCCGGCATAGGGAGCCACTCTGGGCTCCCCCAGATGGTCCAGGATAATGTCCTCATTTCAGAACCCTTGCCTGAGCCCAGACTTCTGCAAAGCCCTGCTTGCCGTGTAAGGCGATATGCACAGGCTTCGGGGATTAGGAGGCAGACATATTGGAGAGGCCAGTCCTCAGCCTACCACAGCCGCCAGCCGGGACTCTGAAGGCGCCATTGTCACTGGGCTGCGTTGCCTGGCAACTAGCTGGCAGGCCATCTGGAAGCCTAGCGCCACACCAGGGACTCCCCAGGGCAATTCCAACATGGCTTCTGGTAAACATTCAGCCCCCCCCATCAGAGGCAGGGCACAATGTCCAGACACCACCTCTCCGCCTTCCTGGTGCCCCAGGCCTCTGCTAGACCCAAGAAGTTTCCATCTAACCCCTGCTAAGACGAAGACGTAGGAAATAACCTGCAGCGTTTCTCTCTCCTATCCCAGCCGCCGTCAGTCAATCCAGTGGACTGGCAGCCAAATTTGTCATCCACTGCCATATCCCTCAGTGGGGCTCAGACAAATGTGAAGAGCAGCTTGAAGAGACCATCAAAAACTGCCTGTCTGCGGCAGAGGACAAGAAGCTAAAGTCCGTGGCATTCCCACCCTTCCCCAGCGGCAGGTAGGAGGTGGGTCTCCAGGAGGACAGGAGGGGTCCCCGAGTTATTCTTCCAGCCTACTCCCTGGGACTCAGCTGCTCCCCCACTTACTCATATCCACTCCAGCACCCTTAGAAGACATGACCGGGGCTGCCCCTACACCCAAGCCCGCCAGCCAGGTGACAGAACCAAGAAGCCCAGTTTCCATCCTTCAAGACACACAGGAAAAGGCAGCCACAGGGTGGGGTGGGAGGCAGAGTTCTCTTTGGAGCACCAGCTGTGAGAACCCAAGATCAGAAACACCAGGTTTGGAGGCCTTGAGATATAGAGTGTGGTCTGTGGCCCGGCAGCAGCACCCCCATGTTAGAATGTGGTGCCCCCACCCCACTTGTCTCTAGGGGACCCTATGCTGTTCCGGAGGCCAGGAAGGCTGAGGTGAGGCTTCGTAAGTGCCCCTGCTGAGATGAAAGACTCTCACTGAGGCTTTGCTTTGGGGGTTAAAAAGATGACAGTTCTAATTGTCACGGACCCCAACAGGCACAGAAGCAGGTTCCAGGTAAATGATGGCTGTATCTGTCCCCACCTGTAGCACAGCCTTCCCTCCGCACTCATCAGCAAAGCGAGTTATGGCTTTAATTTTGAACACCCTCTCTCTTGAGAGACGCCCCTCTGTAACACAGATGTGATTTACACTCTAGAGCCTCCCAGTTTGTAGCTGGATCACAGAAAGCTGAGAGAAATATGAGGCCTAGCTTCCCGCTCTCATCCTGTCTGAACCTCACCACGCGGCGCTGGGTCTCCAAGGCCCAGGCCCAGAGGAGCTGCCGGCTGAATTCTTGACATAGCTGGGACCACGTGCCCTGCTGCTCTGGGCCAGGACAGAGTGTTCTTGTGAGAATACACATGAGGCAGACCCACCCTGCACCCACCTAAGGGGGATTAGTGACTGACACCAAAAGACACTGTGACTAGGCCCTCTCGAGGCTAGTTATCACAGCCCAGCCTGGCAGGCAGGTCTGGCCTGGCCTCCTGGTGCTCGCTCGGGGCCCTGCCCAGAGTCACCCATGTTGACTTGGCACATCCATTCGGGTTAGTGAGAACAGCTCTAGGGGCACAAAAGAGGAATCCTGAAGACGCACTTTGACCTTTAATGAGCAATGTTTGGCATATAATCCAGTTTTGAGGGACCAAATAAAACTTCTATTTGCCTTTTTGAAAATCAGATATTCTATCTTGTTTTAGTATTTTATTTATACATACAAGAGCTGGGGCACAGGCCAGACATGTGGAGGGGGCGGGGGGAGAGGATTCACCAGAGACAGAGTAGGGAACAGAACAGGCAGATTGACTGAAGAACGCTGCTGAGAGGAGCAGCGGGCGAGACAGGAGAGGTCTGCTGCGCCATGTGGGTCAGCTCCTAGGCCGGCAATCAAACTCGTGTTGCGATGGCTGTGGACAGCGCCATAGTGCTGTGCTTTCGCCTGCTGCACTACCAGACAGGGCCCATCAGCGGTGTTTTTAAAGCCCAGCTCACCCTGAGTCAGGAGGTACTGGCACGCTCACTGGGCAGTCCTATGACCTGGGCTAAAACCACTGGTCCTCTGAGTCAGCGTAGCGCTGTCCAGCCAGCACAGCGGCCCCTCCCTCGCTGTGCCTTTGACGTGGCTCCTGGGTGATCCTGTGTGCACCAGCTGCACGTGGTGAGACCCCAGCTGGGGTCACTGGAACTGGGGCCCGGCACCAAAATAAAAAGGAACAGTATGGTTAAGGGCACCAGAGAGACATCAGCTCTCCCTTTTCCTTTGGCACAGAAACTGCTTCCCCAAACAGACCGCAGCCCAGGTGACCCTCAAAGCCATCTCGGCCCACTTTGACGACTCAAGCGCGTCCTCGCTGAAGAACGTCTACTTCCTGCTCTTCGACAGCGAGAGCATCGGCATCTATGTGCAGGAGATGGCCAAGCTGGACGCCAAGTAGCCGCCCCCCGCCCGCGCTGCTCACCAAGGGATTCTGAGGAAGAGCGAAGTCACAGCAGCAGCGGGGAGTTATTTTTTAAAGGAGGGAGAAGGGTTGACAGCAGGGGAGCGGAGGGTGGCTGACCGGGGAGCAGGCAGCAGGCTGTGTAGCAGGTCCCGCCCCCCACCCCCAGAGGCCCTCTGCCTTTTTATATTCTGGTTAAAAGAGCCTCAGTCCGTAATTAACCAGGTCTCCACCAGGGGTTTCTTTCCATGTGTTTCTTCCTGTTGTTTTAAAACTTTTTTTAAAAAAAAAACAGACTTCGTTTTAGATTTTTAGCATTGACTTTTACACACACACACAAGTCCTTTCAGAATTCTTTAACTCTCCTGTTTCTCCTTTTTGGCAAGGGAACAGGGCATACAAATGACTGGGCTTTGTTGGCTGGCTGTATTCAGAGAGGGACAAGAAAATCAGAAAGGCATCAACTGGGTGCTTTGCTTTTCTGTTTTAGAGCCCCTACCCCTACCCCTGTAATATCTGTAACTACTCCTAAAAACGGTTTTGCTTCAGGCTTTTTTTGGTTTGGTTTTGTTTTTTAAAGAAAAAGAAAATGAAAGAAAAAATAAAAGATCCGGTGTCTTTCTTATAACATATTCTTTTATTGCCATATTTATCTCTGTTTGGAAAGCCATGTCCCCATGAGTGGCTACTTCTAGAAGGTCATAAACAGAAGAGGCCCTATCACCAAAGGTCCGAGTCTCCCAGTGCTAGGCCTCAGATCAGGCAGCACCAGAGTGGCCTCAATTTGCAGGCACCAGATGTGGCGCCTCGTTGGTCTGGGCCAAGCATGGGCCCCTGCAGACAGGACAGATGGAGAACCACAGTGAGGATGGGTTCCTGGACTCTGGCAAGTACTCAGGTTGCCACCAGAAGTCTGGTGGGGGGGGGGGGGTTGGGCAAAGGTAGGACCTACATTTACTCAAATGAATATATCAACCACTTCTGTTATTTAACCTATGGGGTCAAAACAGGCTCCCCCTGACTGGAAGCTCTTTCTGGAGTCATCGCTGTACCTCAGCCTAGCTGGTGATGGGCATTACGGCCACATGGCTGGACACTGGGGTTAGCCTGGAGACCAGAAGCACAAAGCCACAGTGTACTCCCAGGACCCTCCTCCCACCATCCTGCTAAGCTGGAATTCTGTCACTTGCAGATTTGCTCAGCACTGCGGCCTGGAAGCAAGCAGAGGTTCACCTGCCGAACCCTTCACTACTCCCTGAGTGTCGGTCAATGGCAAGCCACCCAAGGGTCGCTTTAGCTTGTCTGTTTTGCCTCAAACATCTCCATTGGCTGGCAGGCCCAGCTTCAGTGTCCATCCCTGTTAGTTTTGTAGACACTCACTCTCTTGGAGTGGACTAACCAGGAAGGAAATTTTATCCAACTCTTATCTTAAATATAACCTATGGTATATAATCAAGACCTAAAGATAGAAATATAGAAAGTACCGAGACAGTGAAAAACTATAGGAATGAATAGTTTAAAATTAGGTTAAAACTCTATTAACAACCTGGGTATTGCGGTGAGGGGGGGTGTGTGCTCCCCCACCCATGTGCCTCTGCTGTGATGGGGGTCTGGGGTGCAGGCCATCTCTCCACAACAGCTCCCATTCCAAGCAGGCATCTGTGTCCAGGCTCCTTCCTGCCCTGACATCAGGATGTCCACTGCTGGGAGACCCAACTCTCCTACTCTGAGAGCCCTGAATGGCGCAAGCACGCACACACACATGCACACACACATGCACACCCACCATGTGCACACACACACATCCGAGAGGAGCCTGGCGATAGAACAGAGTGGCTGTGCCCTCTCCAGGACCAAACGACTTCTATCTCTCTCTCTCTCTCATTTTTTTGGTTTTAGATAGGTTGTTTCTGGTCAGTACATAATCGGCATCTTACTCCAGACAAGAGCACTTGCCCGGCACTTGTCAGCAGGTGCCCTGCGTCAAGCGATCCATTCGCCAGGCCACAGAGCCTCATCTCCCGCCGGCCTCCCCGTCAGGGTGGAGACCGCCTCATGGTTTTCCAGCTTGTGGAGACGAACAGGTCCCGACTCTTGGCCAGCCGAACCATGAGCCGCCCCACGTAGTAGCCGCTGATCTGGCCCACGCCGTCATTTCTCCCCATGGACAGCAGAAACGTGAGCCCGCCTGCGAGGCAGAGACACCAACAAGCTAAAATCTTGCCTGCCCACTCGTGAGCCTGCAATTCCCAGAGCAGAAAGCCTTCCTGGGGTCTTCCAGCCCCAGTGCAGGGGAATGCGTGAGCTTTTCAGGAAAGGGGTAGAGTTCCTGAGTCCGTTGCAACGATCCCAAGGAGGTGCTTCTGTCACCAGCTTGGTGAGGTTGTTCTAGCTGACAGTCATTTTAAAGACCCAAAAAGCTTCTACGAATCTAGCTCCAACTCCTTTAAAACTGTGGGCGTGGCAGACCTCTCCTGTTGGCCCGCTGGCCCCCGGGCAGTGTGTTCCAGTTCTGTCCCCCCACTCTGTCCCTGATGGATCATCTCACCCCCTGCCTCAGGCCTGTGCCCCAGTTCTTGTATGCATGGATGAATGAATCTTTAGGAAAAAAAAAATTGTGACGCATGGGGATTACCCCTACCTGGCTTGTAGGCCTTGAGGGGCCTCTGCTTCATAGAGCTGATGATATTGGCCACGGCGATGCTGGCGTGCAGACCTGCGTGATAGGCCATCTTGGGCTCCTTCACGTCAGCACAGTCGCCGATGGCGTAGACGTTGCTGCAGCCCTCCACCTGGAGGTACTCGTTCACCCTCACAGCGCCACTGCTGGCCAGCCGACTCTCTGCAAATGGAAACCAAGACTTCAAGGCGCCAGGTTAAGGAGCCTCCAGAGCCTGATGAAGATGAGCTCTGTGCTGGGCAAGCCCCCCTCCAGAGGTGGGACCTGCCTAACTTATTTCCGCCTGAAGTCCCCACCTCATCTTCCTGCAAAGTTACTGGTGCAGGGCGGGACCTGGCAGAAAAGACCCCCAGTGTCCTTCTAGATAATGCACAGAATTTGTTACCAGTTATCAATGATTAATTAATTCATGATGGCTAAGATAGGAGTTAGCTATGTCCCTTTAGAATTTAGCATCAGATATATTTTTTTAAAGATTTATTCTATTTGTACATACAGAACTGGGGTATAGGCCAGAGGCTCAGGGGTGGTGAGAGGATTCACCAGAGACAGAGTGGGGAGCAGAACAGGCAGATAGACAAAGTACACTGCCGAGGGGAGCAGCGGGCAGGTCAGGAGAGGTCTGCCACGCCATGTGGTCACCTCCAGGGCAGGCGGGAATCGAACTCATGCGGAAGTGGCTTTAGCTTCCCAGTGCTGTGCTTTAACCTGCTGCGCCACCAGGGAGGGCCAGCATCAGATTTTTTTTTTAATGTAGGATTTTCATAAATGATAAACTTTTCTTTCTAAAGGACTTTTGAAAATGTATCTTCAAAAATATCACATCAGGGCCCTCCCAGGTAGCACAATGGGTAAGGACGCAGCACCGCAAGCTAGCCGCAGCCACTTCAGTGCAAGTTCCATCCCAAGCCCGCCCCGGAGGTGACCCACATGGTGCGGCAGACCTCTCCTGACCCACCCACTGCTCCCCTCAGCAGTGTACTTTGTCTATCTGCCTGTTCTGCTCCCCACTCTGTCTTTGGTGAATCCTCTAACCATCCCTGCACCTCTGGCCTGTACCCCAAATCTGTATGCATAAATAAATAAATCTTTTTTAAAATCACATCAGAACAAGCAGGTGTTAAACTCTGGATCTCTGGATAATCTCTCCTTCTCATCCCCGCACATGGCTCAGATTAGCTTCCTTCTTCTGGGGCTGGTTCAGTCTTCCCTGTTAGACATGAAGCAGGAGCGCCTTGTCCAGGAAGAGTTCTTGGGAGTAAAGGATGGGGACTTGTGGACCAGAAACCAGTGGACTGAGAGGCTGCCAGCTCACAGATGGAGGCCACCAGGCCACCTCCCCAGCTTCTGTCAGCTACTTAATTAAACATTGTGCTTTGAGAACATGAGACCACATAATTGCTCCCATTCCCTAAATTTTCAGGATTAGGGGAGAGCAGTGAACCTGTGAACAGAGATAGGCCTGACCCTTTTTTTTGCATCTGCATAGACAGAAAAGGGACAGAAAACACATCTGTTTTCATCTCTCGGAAGCCAGTTCTCACTTCTCTCCACGAGGGGGCAGGCCATGGTGTGGGAAGATCCTGATCACAGGCTCCCTTGGGCTCAGCCAGCATGGGCAGGCCTAAGAAAGCACAGGGAATTGACTCAAGCCTACACTTCAGTGTCACCAATTAGAAGAGACCAAAGAGCTGCTGGGATGGAGTGGGGAGGCACTGATTTTCGGGGAGAGGTGTGCAGTGCTGGCCCTGGCGGCTGGAAAGTGAGGAGACAGCCTAGGACGCAGGCTGTGGCGTGACCTCCTGCTTACCAAAGGCACTGCGGTAGGCCGAGCTGTTGATCTTGATGCCATTGCAGACGATCACCAGGTTGGTGGCCACCTCTGTGCCCTTGTCTGTCTGCACTTTGATGTACTCTCGATACTCATTGACAGGCAGCTCTTCCAGGTTGCTCACCCTCTCACCTGTCAAGGGAGGTCCGTGACCAGGAGGCCAGTGGAGGGTAGGTGCTTGGCCCAAGCCGCGGCTGGCTTGAGGAAGGCTGGAGGGGGGAAAGGCCTGGACCACTGCAACCCAAGGAGGCATTATTCTGTCCCTCGCTCCCACACATAGCCCTCCCTGTCCATGCTGCTGCCCCAAGAAGCCCAAGCTGGAACTCTGGCCCAAGGGATCCAGTGGAAGGAAAGTTGGAAAAAACAATTTGGGGAAATGAGACTGAGTCTCCAAGGAGTTCTGGGGAAAGCTTACTGAGGAAGACCTGAAACACGGCTCCCTGGTGTCAGTCCCTCGGCCCTAGCCAGGCAGGAGGTGCCTCCTGCACAGCACTAAAGGTGCCAGCTAGAAAAGGCAGAGGAGCCAGCCTGCTCCCCTCACAGGCTGGGCCCACTGGGTGCACAGGGAGACAAGAGCTGAGAGGGGTTTTCATGGGCATCTCTTCTCATTGCAAAATACAAAGAAAGGAAGCTCAACAAGTGGGGTCCCCATGCCATCGGGGTGAGAGCCCCCTCCCTGACCTGCTGCTGTTCCATCCAGCTCTGGACAAAACCACGCTCCCACCACCCTCAAAAACAAGCTATTCTCTCAGAGACGTTATCATTCAGGTGAAATCCTCCAGGTGCATTTTTTTTTTTTAAATCACTCAACAAAGAGCCAAACCATCAGCACCGTGTCCAAAGCAATAGCCAGGCCTCTGCCAGCTGCACAACACAGAAGGCCCTATGCACCTGGCTATCCGCTATGCACCTGGCTATCCGCCGAGCCTGAGGACAAGCGCAGCCCCCCACTGGACAAGGGGCTTTGGGGCTCAAGTCCAGGACACTCAGAGCCCCGGAGCTGAGCGCAGCACCATCCAGCTAGACAGTTGCCACACCTCTGAGGCAAGCCTCCCTGGGCCAGGGGTGGGATGGGCAGGCAGGCCCGCACGTACTCAGCAGCAGCTGCACGCCTTTCCGCAGCAGAATCTCCTTCACTTCCTGCCGGACACAGGGCAGGAGCTCCTTGTCTGCAAGGGCCATTTGGGAGTGAATGAGCGTGACCTGGGGAAAAAACGACCACAAGACAGAGAAGGAGCCTTTGAGTCTCTTACGCAAGTGAAAAGGTTTAAAAACATGTCCACCTGCCTCCCCCACCCCCACCTCCAGTTTACAAGTGAGGAAACTGAAGGGAGGTCATGTGTCCAATGTGAAGGGCAAGCTGGACTTCAGACCCACCTCCACTCTAGGACCCTTTCAGCTCTGGCCCTGGCCAGATGACCACGAGGCACCTATGCTCAGCAAGTGACACCTCACCAGGGCCACACGGGCAAACATTTCCAGCACCCCTGGGCACTGTAACTGTGCAGGCTGCACGGGAGCTGTTGCCATTCCCACTGCAAAGCAGCCTGACGATTACATTAAGCCTGGGTGGAAACTGGCACTGCCAGGCATGTTCTCTTGATGCTGGGTCAGCTGGGGTTGGCTGGCAGCAGCCTGAAAGGATGTCAAAGTTGGGGGTGGAAATCCCACCCTGGATACTCACTCCCAAAGCCTCAGAAAGGCCAGGTGCACTGCCTCACCCTAAGGGTTTTGTAGCAACGAAATGAGAAAGAGCGCATTGAGCACGTCACAGGCACAGGCCGAGCCCCTAATAAAGGGGGGGGGGTGACTATTACTCTTCTTTGTCTATGAATTATAAGCACATGGACCATAGACTGAGTCAGGGACTTTACCCCGTAATTCAAAATTAATAACCTTTTACATCCATCACTTATAATTTCCAACAATTTGTCAGAGAACATTCATATGATTAAATTAACTCATATTGATCTTACTTTCGAAAACCAATCTGCCCCCCTCAAGGGAGAAGGAATCATTCATAGGCTTTCAAAGCTGATCTGGCATCAGCACTAGGTTAGTGCTAAACTGAAGACCCCACATTTCAGCACATCCCTCAGCCCTCAGCCTTGACCGCCTGCCAGGTTCTTCTGTTTCTCTCCAGCTAGGTTCCCTCTCCTCCATCATTAGCAGGAAACAGGGACACCCCCCACCCCTCCCACAAATACACCCCACACAGGGGCAGGGGACAGCACCGGCCAGTCCTCCCCCAGCACAAGCCAGCGAGAGGTTGCACAGCAGGCACCCCCATGTCTGGAGTAAAGGCTGTTGCCTCTAAAGGACCAAAGAGTCTCTGGTTGCCCCTGACAACCAAAAATATCAGCTGAGGGTATCTGTGACCAAGCTAGTTATCAGCAGTAACAGGCAATCAAAGTCTACACTTACAGTGCAGAGGCTGGACACTGCTGAGACCCAGGACTGAACGCACTGTAAGGCTGTCTTCCCTGGGTGCGCACCTCAGAAGCAGTCCCCTCACACCCGGCAGTAAAAATCCCCAGTGGGCCAGGACTTGAGGGGTTCCCCAACGCAGAGAGGAGGAGAGGAACACACACTCCCACTTGGTATTAGCGGCACTCCACTCCTCAGATAACACAGAGCAGCCAACCTCTGGGCGCTCAAGGCCAAGGCGCTCGCCCACCTCTTTCTCGGGGTATTCTGTTTTAATTTCGGCTGCCATCTCCACACCCGCAGAGCCGCCTCCTACCACGGTGATGAACTGTGAGCGCTGGACCTAGGGAAGGAGGAGACAGCAAGCGCACCCTCAATCCACATAGCTTCCCGTTTCATCCTGGGGAGGTGGGGGGAGCTCACTGGCCAAAGAAGAGTAACCAACACTTTCCAATTCAGGGTTCAAAAGTGCTCTCTTGGGGCCGGGCATGTGCTGGGAATTCACTGCACTGTCCTCACTCCACGCTGGCATCGGAGAAGGCAGACATCACTACCTGCTCACCCTTCTGAGGGTCACGGCCAGGTCTGAGTTTAAAGCCGGATCCTACCCTCCACCCCAACGTCTGCTCATGGCTGTGCGAGAGGCTCCCAGACTTCTCCAAGGCTCTACAGGAGGAAAGAGCTGGGCTCATCAAGCCCAGCACCTGCCTGGAGATGCTTCTCTGGTCTCCACTCCTCATCTGCTCCATGGACCTACAGCCAGTGCCACCCACCTCTCAGGATTGGCTGTGAGAGCCACCTGAGATCACGGATTGAGCTGTTCCATAAAGCTTTCTAAAGCCAGGCCCTTCCTGGTGGCACAATGGGTTAAAGCACAGCACTATGAAGCTGTCCACAGCTGCTGCAGCATGAGTCCAATCCCTGGCCAGGGAGGTGACCGATATGGCACGGCAGACCTCTCCTGTCTCGCCCGCTGCTCCCCTCGGCAGTGTACTTCGGTCAAGCTGTCTGTTCTGCTCCCTCCTCTGTCTCTGGTGAATACTCTCACCACCAACCCCACACCTCTGGCCTGTACTCCAGGGTCTGTACTTTGTGTGCATATGTAAATAAATCTTAAAAAAAAAAAAACTCAAGAGCCCAAAGGGAGATCGGACACATGCTGATTGATCACTACTTTAGAACCATGTTCAGACTCCAGTTTCAAGGCCAAAGTTCTCCTCCAGGATAAGGGAGCCTTATCCTGGTAACTCTCCATATTTATGTCTGCTTTCAACTGTCCCAAACACCTGCAGGGGATCCCCTGATATAGCCCCAGGCACCCCACAGTTGTTCTGCTCCCCGGGGACCACCTGGTCTGCCCTCTGCCTGCTCAGTACACAGCTCACCTGCTTCACCATGTCCTCGTAGGCCTGGATGGCAACCTGCTGGCTGGAAACGCGGTTAAACTTGCCCGGGAAGGGCCCAGTGCTGCCCGTGGCCAGGATAAGGTGTGAGAAGGGCAGGACCTGTGAGGAACAAGGGAAAGAAAGGTGAGAGCTGTCTGGGCTTCTGCACCCAGCTCAGGCACTGTTGGGGTGAGGGGTGGGGCAGTCTGGACACATGGTGGTGTCCTTCTTTGAGGACAGCAACACCAGCACATCGGTTAGGCTGAGGAGTGGCATAGGAACCTGGGAGACACCTGAGGAAGCAGATTTTACCTGCTGCCACAGCCACCGGATTCAGAAATGGGAGGGGTAAGCGCCCCACAGCACGGCAGGTAAACGAATTGTGGGGAATGGGCAAGATTCTAGCTTCCTGGTGTAGTTACTTGAGAAGCACCTGAGTATTTTAGAAGAAGCATTCCCCCATTTCTGGAAGAAAAGAAATGGAAAGAGGAGAGGAGAAGGGAGGGGAAGAGTGGGGAGAGGGAGAGATATCTTGTTTGGATCCCACTCAGTCCATGGAGGAGATGCCCTCATGGGCCCTTCCAGGACTCTGAGAAGCACAACCCCAAAACGCATCACAAGGAGATTCCTGGTAATCCTTCCAACTGGGGGTTCTCCAGCCCTAAAATAAATTCAAGGAGGACTGAAATTCACACAACATTGTATTTTCATTGAAGACTGCATGTGCCCTTTCTCCAGTGCCCTCTCAGCTTTAAGAGGGGGCCGGTTGGTGGGTGACCTTCAGGGGCTGGCAGCAGCTCACTGACGGAGTTCATCGCCACAGGCATGTCCCAGGCCCCTTGCCACAGCTGAGGAAGGCAAAGGAGCGCCAAGAGAACTATACCCCAATGACTTCCCAGTTGGTGACATGGGGTGCATATGTCCCTTCATTCTAGACAGCAAGGAGAGTCCCCAGGTCTGGCCAGACACTGGCCTACAGAGGGTGGGTTCTGAGTGCAAATCCTGACTGAGTCTCTTACCAGTTGGGAGGTCGCAGGCCAACCACTCAGCCTCTGGGGGGTTTAAGGCAGGGCCCGAGCACAAAAGAGGCTCAAGGCGTGTCTACCACTGTACTTCTGTGGCTGCTGCAGCCAGACATTTGTTAAGGACCCTGCCACCAGCCCAGCACCTCTCCTGGAGAGCCCCACCAACGTCTCCACCTCCACAGCCACACCGCCAGGTCTCTGAGTCCCAATGGTGGGTAGTCCGCAGCCCGGCCTCACCTCGCCATCTTCCAGCTGCACCGTCTGATTCTTCATGTTGATCTCAACCACCAGGCCCTGCCGGAAGTTTTCCTTGTAGGTCTCCGCATAGGAAATAAAGGTCTTTTTGGCAAATCCTGAGGAATGGCCACAGAGGTCACAGTGTAAAACTGGACTGCCACAGGCAGCCAGAATATCTCAGAACCTTTCCTGATTTGCCTGCTAACAGGTGCACCCCTGGCCAAACAGCTGGGTCAGTAGCTTACGCAGGGTCTCCACTACTCTCTCAAGTGTGGGTCTGGGGCTCTGGTGCTCGGGAAGCTCAAGCTTTCGCTCCTGAAGCTTTGTACCAGGCCTAAGAGCAATGACCTTAACTGTCTGGAATTCATCTCATGGAATGTTGGCACCTTGCCATCAGTGGGGAAACCACCCCACCATCCACAACGGCGACAACTCTCAAAAAGAAAGCCGCCAAGGCCCTCCCTGGTGGCGCAGCAGGTTAAAGCACAGCACTGAGAATCTAAAGCCACTTCCGCATGAGTTCGATTCCGGCCTGCCCGGGAGGTGACCACATGGCACGGCAGACCTCTCCTGACCCGCCCACTGCTCCCCTCAGCAGTGTACTTCGTCGATCTGCCTGTTCTGCTCCCCACTCTGTCTCTGGTGAAGCCTCTCGCCGCCCCTGAGCCTCTGGCCTGTACCCCAGTTCTGTATGCACAAATAAATAAATCTTTAAAAAAAAAAAAAAAGAAAGAAAGCCCCCAAAAGACACCATTACCACTCTCCACGGAGGCCCGGAGGGCGGCCACGTTGTGATGAAAGGAGTCTTTCATGTCCACCATCATGAACGGGATGTTCAGCGCCTGCAGTTGACTGGCAGCCGCGATCCCACCGAAGCCCCCGCCCACGACCACCACGTGCAGGCCTCCTCCCGTGTCCACGGATACCTGGGACCCCATCTCCAGCCAGGCACTGCCACGAGAAGAGGAGAGACCACATTAGAGTCAGGAGACCCCGGGGCTAGAAAAGCCGGTAGGCCCCCAAAGAGAAAGGCATCCTATGCCAAGACTTGATATTTTTACTATCTAGTTCCGAAATTCCAACTTTGTAAAAGGTGGTTGGTTTTTGTTTGATACAGCAAAACTTGATTTACTGACATTGTCACAACACAGCACCAGTTCACAAGAAATAATTCTGCAGACAAACAAGCCAGACCTTAAAAAGTGCTCCTACTTTGCCCTCTTTGAATTTCCAGAAAATCTTCTTTGACGTCCCCATCTTCAGAACATTCAGAAAAAAAGTGAACTCCATAAATATCAAGACTCAAAACTTGTGTTCACAAACATTCTCATTTACTAGCAATTGTTTGGGAGCAAGTAACTCAGTGCCTATGAAAGCTTCCCTTATGTATTTGCAAAATGGAGACACCACCTGTATTAAGTAACTCTTATTTTGGTATGAGACCCCAGACTGTGCAAGGTAGGTGGATTGATAAAGTTACAAAGCAAAATATAAGTGTACATATTTTATAATTATTATAAGGCTTTATGAGCTAAATGTTCCCACATTTCTAGGTGATGGTTCTCAACGTCTATGTGGGGACACATGAAGAGAGAGCTCCTCCCAAGTCCACTGAGATAAAGTAAAAAGTGACCAATGGTTCTACTTTTGCTTTGTTAGCAAGACCATAAAATGAGGTTCTATATTTGTAGTGCATGCTTTAAAATTGCCACCTACAATTTTTATCATAAGCTAAGTCCTTTGCAAAAATCACAACTTGATCGAAATATCACTATTTTAAAAATAAGACTGCTCTTACATTTAAAGTGTTGAAGAAAATCCAGATAAGTGATTTGAGATTCAGTAGTAGTCGTTTAAAAGAATGAACAAGTTGTACTTAAAAAGAAATGCTATATTGTTTTTCTTGCTCCTCAAAGCGCTCATTTTCTTTCCCCTTCTGACATACAGTTTGATCTTATCTGTTTTTATCTAAAGTCATTTGTTGGTACCTTATCATCTCTGCAGTAAAATTAAATATATAGAAAGACTATAAAAATTCTTGCCACTGAAAGCACCTCAGAGTAAAAATTTCTCTGGATGAAAGTACTTTTTAAAATAATTATTAATGGAATGAACAACCATATACCAGAGACATTTTGAGGGGGTGGAGTGGGGAATGGGATCAAAAACGGGGGGGTGGGGAGAGAAATGCACGTGATTATGGTGATGGCACATGGGTGATTTGGTGATGGGAAACCCGCGGGGATTACAATCGAGATGGAAAAAAAATGTACAAAATGATGTAAAAATAAACTTTTGTAATAAAAAAAACACCAAAAGAAAATAATAATAATTATTAATGGAATGCAATTAGCGGTCTCCCTGGTAACACAAAAGCTTCAAGGGCAGCACTATGAAGCTGTCCGCAGTCACTGCAGCACGAGTTCAAGCCCCAGCCAGGGAGGCAACCCACATAGCACAGCAGACCTCTCCTGTCTTGCTGACCTGCTCCTTCATCAGGATATTTCAGTAGATCAGCCTGTTCTGCTCCCCACTCTGTCTCTGGTGAATCTTCTCATCCCCCAAACCTTTGACCTGTACCCCAGTTCATAAATAAATAAATATTTTTAAAGGCATGCAAGTAAACAAATCACATATAGCAGGCATCATAAATATTTATTAAACACATCTATTTTTTCCATATGATTGTAAAAAATGCTTGAATGGTTTTACCGAGGCACAAGGACAAACTTGCTTGCTCTAATGAGCGAACTGCCTCCCTGAAACAGGATCAATTCCCAGAACCAATTCTGAGAAACCTTGTTTACAAATATGCTGCTCAATTCTTTAATGCCATTGGAGTGATACAGTTAACAGAATCTAGCATCAAACGTCATTCTTAATGTTCTATCAGCTTATAACTCTATTAATGTCTTCCTATAGTAAACTGAAAGCAAATTAGAGACTGCCTCAATTACAAAAGAGTTTACTAGCCTCCAGAGTTACTGTCAACATCAACACGATGTTTTCAGATTTATTTATTTATGCATACTGTACTGGGTTACAGGACAGAGGTGCAGGTGTGGTGAGAGGATTCACCAGAGACAGAGTGGGGACGAACAGGCAGATCTACAAAGTACACTACTGCGGAGAGCAGCGGGTGAGACAGGGGAGGTCTGCCGTGCCATGTGGGTCAGCTCCGGGGCGAGGATGGAACTCGCACCCAAGCAACTACGGCTTAAGAGTGCTGCGCCACCAGGGAGGGCCTCAACATGATATATATTTTTTTTATAACAGTTTATTTTTACATCATTTTGTACATTTTTTTTCCATCTCAATTGTAATCAACATGATATTTTTAATAGTCTCTTTGTTTCGTTACCGAGAGATTTTACACTTTGGGATTTGTTCCATGTGATTCTGTATGTTTAAGAGACTTAGTGAAAGAGGCTTGTGAACACAAGAGGTAGGAATGAAACAGATCCAATGACAGAGCTACTCAGACAGGTTACTGTAGGGATAAAAGCACAGGAAATTTAAGATCATGAATTTTTTTTTAATTAGCTATTCCTGCACAAGTCTTGGGAAGTGGTCATGTATTCTAACAATTTTGTGGAAGTCAATAAAATTTCAGAGGAACAAGGGACATTCGTTCCATCTATCCCATCCCCTACCCACCGGTCTCCTTTCTCGAAGACATCCGCTGTCACCAAGCTAAGCAAACCCTTGCAGATACAGTCTATGCACCTTGATTATTTTTTGTACACTTAACAAACTGTCCTATACTTTTTGGTCACTCAATATACCTGCCTGCTTGACAGCATACATTCATTGAATTCCTGCTCTCTTACATGCTTTGCACTATGGACCCTGTGGTCAGAGCATAGACAGACAGACAAATATGGTGTCTGCCCACATAAGACACATTTGCAACCTAAAAGGGCAAGGTGAACAGGGTAGATGTGGGTCGCTGGCAGGTGCACAGGAAGAAGAAGTGGTGGGCACATTTGTGGGTATCTGGCAAGCACAGACCACATTAAAATGACTGAATAGGGCCCTCCCTGGTGGCGCAGCAGGTTAAAGCACAGCACTAAGAAGCTAAAGCCACTTCAGCATGAGTTTGAACTCCATCCGCCCCAGAGGTGACCACATGGCATGGCAGACCTCTCCTGACCCGCGTGCTGCTCCCCTCAGAAGTGTACTTCTCAGTCAGCCTGTTCTGCTCCCCACTCTGTCTCTGGTGAATCCTCTCGCCGCCCCTGCACCTCTGGCCTGTACCCCAGCTCTGTATGCATAAATAAATAAATCCATTTTTAAAAATGACTGAATAAAATCCTTTAAGCATGATGCTAAGCAAACACCAGAAGCAGGTTCTGCCCAGCCTGCAGGTCACCAGCTTAAAGTCCTGGTCTAAGTAGGTCAATGAGCAGATTATGACAATCATCCTGAAAAACAGGTGCACAGTAACTAATGCTTCATGGGAGTGGTGGTGAAGAGGGTCTGTGGTGAGATCAGCGCTGGTTGGTGGGGCATTCCTGGGACGGATGGGGATTCTAAGTGACGTGTCCCAGGAATCAAGCAGAGGGAGAGATGTCTGTGGGGAGAAGAAACAGCACTGGAGTGGATTCAAAGGAAGGCCTGCTGCTAACAGAGGGCTGAGGGAGATGCAACAGCTGTGCCGCCTCCAGTCTAGGGCCAGGAGGCCAGGTGCTGGGGGTGCTGGGGTCTGGGGTCAGGGCCATCTGAAAGCGTGTGTACTGAGGGGGAGGCCGGGTCTTTAGGCCAAGTGCATCCCAGATTCTCACTCAATGTGGACTGGGCAGCCTGAGCAGTTCCCAGCAAACTAAGAGCCAAGGAGCTAAAATTCAAGAAGCTTTGAGCTAAAATTCAGAGCTGGATACTGGACGACATCGTAGCAGAGAACAGCACAGGGCTGAACTACTATGCACAGAAGGCAAAAATGAAGGCAGCAATGTTTGCGGAGAGGGTGTCCTGGGCTCACCCTCCTATGGGCCTAGTGATGAGCTGCTTCCCCAGGCTGTCCCTAGGGAGGGAGAGCGCCAAAGAATGGGCCTGGGGCTGCAGTCAGGGCCCTTGCCGCAGCCCAACTGAACCCCAGAGAGGGATCCCCATGGATCCCTCAAGGCTCTCTCAGGTGGGTGTCCAGTATCTGAGGAGGACTTAGTCCTTGAGCTCTCGAGACCAGTGAGGGTCTATTGGGAGATGCCGGTTAGGACACCCATCAAGCCTCCTCCTATTTCTGTGTCAAGTTCTAAGAAGTGGCAGAAATAAAACCAGACTGGCAGGAAAGAAACAAAGCCGACACTGTACGAAAGGTTAAGTGGAGAAACATGTTCCAGTCCCTCTGGGACCCACCCCCACACCCCTCCGGCAGTACCAAGGGAGCTGGGAGCTGACTTCTCTCTCTGCCCTGAGTCTTCAACCCTCCCCTCCCAGGGCCTCAATTTACCCCTTACACCAAGAGGAGGCTACAAAGGCCTGACCAGCTCTGATACCCTGAGATGTCCTTGCACATCGTTTCTAAGATATGGGGCATTGGGGCCCATTAGATTTTTCCATGCTTAAGTAGGCAGCTATGGATGGACCTGCGGACTCTGTTCTCATTGGCATTCAAATGCCCACTGCCTGATTTCTCTCCCTGGGGTGGGAAAACCTGAGTGGGGGAGGGTAGATCTGAGCAGGAGCCTAGAGGGGACTAGAGATTCTCACTGGCTAAATGGTCTCAATGCACTGAGGCCTGTGCAGTCTGACCTTTTCACAGATGAGGAAACTGAGCTCTCAGTAGGGCTGGGAAAATGAAAATTTCTCCAGCAGGCAGTGCCAGCTTCATTGCTCCAGGTCCTTGGAAAGGTCACCTAGAGCTGGTCCCTCAGAGTGACCATTTGTCAGGCTACATTGGCCAACTGGGCCAGACTGTCTCCTGGGGGTCAGGACCCGGGAGCGAAGGAGAGGTCAGGAGTGGCCGCTAGGAGCCAAGCAGCAACTGGGCACTTGGGATGGAGGAAATGAGGCAGGCTAGGGCACACCTCCCTCTGCCAGCCTGCCTTGGGAGAGGTCACAGAAGCACCTAGGAGTTCTGATTCTAAGCTTCCTGGAACAGCTGGAGTCAGAGGACCCACGTAGCCAAGAAGCCCAGTGGCAAGAAGGGTTGTAGGGAAGAACTCAGGAGAAAAGGTGGGGAGGGCAGGAGGGCAGGTGCCAGAGAGCCCACTCATGCTCACCAGCTCTAACCACCAGCCCTGCCCTGGACCCCTTGGAAAAGCAACCCAAGCACAGCCTTCATGGGTGGGGGGTGGCCAGAGGAGCTAGCCTCTGCTCCCCTGCCCGCCAGGATTACAACCAGCTTCCCCAAAGGGCAAGCCATGGGCACTTTCAACTAGACACACCCCTCAGTGAAGGCAAATAAATTGCTTCTGTGGAATGGTAGGTCTGGGGCCTGAGGGCACAACCAAACCCAAGAGAGCTGCCAGAGCTGGGCCAGGTGGGGAGGTGCTTTTATAGCCACGCCACTGCCAGAGGCCTCTCCGGGAATCTGCTCCTCACTCTCCTCTGCTGACCCCTGACACTCCCAATTGGGGAATTCGGGGCTGGCGACTCTTCTCTGCAGCCTTTCTGGCTGGACACTCTTGGATTTCCTGACTCTCCATTGGTTCTCCCAGTGCCAATTCCTGCCTGGCTCCCTAGGACAGCTGGTCGCCCCTCCACTCAGCCGTGACTGCCTTTGCCACACATACAAACCAGAGGCCTAAGCCTCGGGGCTGCAGTCCCAGCCACACACCCTGCGAGTACTCATCATAATTCCACTGACATTGAACTGTGTCCTAATGCAGCAGTAGTGCTGGGCAGAGAGCTTTAATCAATGGAGACTGTAGGGTACACTACTGTGTACCCATACCGTGAAATCTTCTGGAGCCATTTTTCAGAGGAAAAGTTTGTCCACGATGTGTCCATACCCATAAAATATACATCAAGAGTGAACTGTAATGTAAACTATGGTCTTTGGGTGACTAGGTGTCATTTTTACAAAAATAATAATGCTTCTACTGAGATAAATCAGAGCATAAAATTAACCTCTTTAAAGTGTCCAATTCAGTAGGTTTTAGTACATTCTTAAGATTATACAATTTTTACCATTATCTAACACCAGAGTATTTCATCACCCTCTCAAAAAAAAAGATACCTGTATATCCATTAGCATTCACTCCCCCACTCCCTGCTCCCTCTAACCCCTGGCATCCACTAACCTTCCTCTGTCTTTATAAATTTGCCTATTTCAGACCTTTTAAATCTGGCTTCTGTCACTTAGCATAATGTAGTTCAAGATTCATCTGTGTTGTAGCTCATGTCAATATTTCATTCTCTTTTATGGCTGAGTAATATTCCATCATGTCAATAACCCACCTTTTATTTATACATCTATCAGTAGATGGACATTTGGGGTGTTTATGTTTTTTGATTATAATGAATAATGTTCTGTGAACACTTCTGTACAAGTCTTTGTGTGAACATATATTTTTAATTTTCTTGACTCTTGACCTAGCAGTAGAGTTGTTGTGACTCAAAACAATTCTATATTCAACTTTTTAAGAAACAGCTGGGTCTACCAGCTGACTTTAAAGATCCAAATCAAAGGAGAAACCTAACTCTGTCTAGATTCAGGGATATAAGCATAAAAGAAAGCCCACTCAAATTTTCTCATGAAATTCTGTTTTCTCTGTCAAGGAGACCCAGCATGGTCCTAAGGACATTTTTCTCTAATAGTACATATCAGGGACCCTTAGGAACTACAAACAAACAAAAAACATGAGTAAGTTATATTATGCCAACGCTGTTGAGAGGTCACCTCTCAGAAGACACACAGAAGGACCATGTGGGCTCTGCCTGAAACAAGGATGACGCCCCAACATTGCTTCACAGAGAACACAAATCAAAAAGCATGCAGCTTTTGAGTCGTCAGAGTTATGCTGAGGGTAGATTTCAACACAGACCTTTTTTCCTCAGCCATGTTTCCAGAATATGATGCCAAGGGACAAGAACATCCCGTTGATTTGGGAAAGGAAAAGGGCAAGGTGTCTTGCTTACTGGACACCAGGAGCCAGGCTGAGAGTGGGCATTGTGTGGCCAGTCCCCAGAGAACATTCCTGAATATAACCCAAAGAGGCCAGTTTCTGGAAAGAACTCAGTGTCTGCAGAGTGGGTGCCTTCCCCTTTCTTGTTCCAGGAGAGGGCAGCTCGGGGCAGAAAGGAGAATTCGGGTGTCATCATTCCTTAGGGAAAACCTAGGCAAAGCAACTTGTACTTCCTCGTGGAAGCCAGTCTGTGGTTTCCTTAACGCCCCCATGGTTTGCTCACTGCCTTGTCTGGATCCTGGCTTCATTTCACCAGCACACAAAGAGGAGGCTGGCCCTGGAGCACACGGCTGTGCCCAGCTCCACTTCACAAGTCGGCTGGCCTAGACGGGCCTCTCCCTTTCTATAGTGGAGGCCCTCCTGATGTGGGGTTACACACAGTGCTCCTTGGAGGGCTCTTTTCTGGGTGCTGGGTGAGGTGCTCGGAGCAAGCACGTACGCAAACCTGAGCAGATACCCAATGTTTTACATACCTATATGTTCTTCATCTTGGTCATGAAGACAAAGGCACAGAACCCAGAGGCTGGGAAGCCCCTTCCAATCTTTGTCTGACCCTCTGCCCTGTGCAGTTCATCCCTCAGGATCATCAGCTTTCAAGTGCTGCTCCCAGCATCCCCACCCTCACTGCAAATCCAAGGGTCAAAGGAACACTTGTTGGAGGAGAAACGTGGGGTGTGTTTAGTGGGTCATGTGGGAACGGAAGTGCCCAGTCAGTGACAGGTCGTGTTGGATTTCAGACGTTCTGGTCTTCACCCCCAGTCCTTTCTGTTAGTTGACCCCCTTGGCCTCTGTCCCGGGGGCACCTAGGGCGTCCTCTAGAGGAGAAACAGCCCTTCTAGGGCACCCTAGACTATGGACTCTCAGGGAACACCAGGCATTTCCCTCCTAGATAAAGACTGAAGCTCTCCTCCTGCCTCAACTTCATTCGGGTCCGCTCGGGCTTCCACGCAGTGAGGACCCGCGGAGCCATCCCAGGACAGGGTGTTACTGGTAGGGGAAGAGGCGCCCAATTTATTTAGGGCGATTTAACAGAGATGAGTCGGGGACAGACAGAGAGAAGGGGCGAGTTTGCGCTACAGTCGCCAGGAGTAAACCTCCCTGTTGATTTGGGTGAACTGCAGTAGCCTAGCCAAAGTCCCTCAGCCTAGACAGCGGCCCTCTCCTCCCAAGGCCGCACCCCCAGCTCACCGACCTGCGGGCCGCCGTCCGATGCCTTTTCCTGGCCCCGCTGTCGGTCCCCGAGAGGCTCCCTCCTCCCCGCGCCTCTTCACTGCCCCGCAGCCTCAGCCGCAGCTCGGAACTGCGGCTCGGCAGCCTCGGCCCACAGCTCCTTGGCCCCTCCCGGGGGCGTGGCTCCTGGCGGGCCCCGCCCCGCCCCCGGCCCCGCCCCGGCCAACTAACTGTCCCAACCTTGAAGCTGGTGAGTGCGCAGGCCCATGCTGGCCCAAGGCCCCATGCCCTGCAGCGTGGCCCCGCGCGAGCCCCTCGGAGTCCACGGAGTTCGGACTCTGGAGTTGGACGCGATCTCCGCCAGAGCGCGCGCTCCTGAGCTCTAGCTGCCAGACTGAGATAGTTACTGTCACCAAATTCACTCGATCCTCCCTCCAGGTTGCAGCTCGCATCGTCAGTCTTTTTCCCTATAGATTCTAGTCCAAGCTCCCTCCTTTTTGGCCTGGCCTCCCCTCCTAACTATAGTTTCTCCAATTTCAGGCAGCCCCCTTTCTCCCCCATTCTTTTACCTAAGAGCATACCTCAGACCAGTCACTCTTCTGCTTAAAACCCTGCAGTGGCTCTGTTGCCCTAGGGATAACAGACAGATGTCACCAAGGCCTGCAGTTCTGTACCATCTTGATTAGGCTGGACCATGCTGTCTTTGGCAACCTCAGCACTGCTATTGCTTTTTCTCTACTCATCCTTGGAGAGAGGCCTTTGCATCCTTCCTTTGCCCTCAATCTTTCAAATGCAATTAGTGAGAGGATGCTTTTTGTTGTTACTATGTCTTCCCCCGAGTATCAGTCACTTCAGTGAAATTAGAAGCCAAGCCTATTTTTGTTCCCCATTTTATTCCCCAGAACCCGGACAGTGCCAGGGATACAGAGGTGCTGTGCTGGGTTTGTGGATTGACCTATATGCCTGAAGGCTGGTGGTTGGTAATCAGTGCCAAGCACCAGTGAGTGCCCAGAGCCACTTACTGTAGCTGTTTCAACTTGCCAAAGCTGCCTGGCACAATGGCAGCTCCTCCTCACAGTCCAAAGCTGAGGTGAAGCCTGAGACCTAGGGGGGCAACAACTGTCTCTGACCAGATTTTTGGGACACAGACCTCACTTTGCTGGACTTCGGGTTCCCAGTATCTGGGAGTACCTGGTTCCCCCAAATCATTGATGTTTTGACTTAACTTTTTAAATTAAGATAGAATTCTGTAAAACTCACTTTTAAAATGTACAGTTCAGTGGTGTTAAGGCCATGTAGTCCTCACCATTATTTAATCCCAGAATGTTTTCATCACTTTGAAAGGAAACTATACCCATTAGCAGTCACTGCCTGTCTTCCCTCCACCCGGCCCCTGTGGTTTGGGGCGGACCCTTAGAGATGGGCCACACCAGCTGGAGAGGAGCCACTAAGGGAGCCAGCAGTGTGACTCATTTCTGGTCAGACAATCCTCCCAGTCCATAGAAAAATGAAGGCTAATATTTATTGAACACAAACTAAGTGCTTTGGATACTTTCTCAAATATATTTTTACCATGGAACTTCAAGGTAAGTTTTATTTCTGTCCACTTCACAGGCAGGCAACTGAGATTCATAGACAAAGAATTTAGGCAACATCACGCAGCTTGTGAAGCAAAGGAGCAGGCCTTGGAAATCCCTCAGCCAGGCATCATCCCTAAGGGAGCCAGAGGTCACTGAGCAGCCAAAGCCGAGTCTCATCTGTGAGTCAAGCAAATATCGGAAATTTACTGGGCCCCGTGGGAGACACAGAGGTAAATAGGGTGAGATCCTTCCCAGAGCAGAGACAGCCCTGTGGCTGGGCAAAGTGAAGGCACGGCACCTAGGTGGATAGAGGGTCCCCCTCAACCGGGTGCAAGGGAAGGACTCCAGGAAATACAGCACCAGCTAGAAGCTGGGAAGGGGACAGAGGTGTGCTGTGGGCACACGCCAGGCTTGGGGAATGACCCGCAGAGCTGGTGCGGCTCATCTCCTAGGGCCCGCCCCAAACCACAAGGATCAGGAAGGTGTCTGTCACTCCCCAGTTTCTTAGCAACCAATTTAGAACAGTTCCAGATAGTTCACCCCACCTTACTCCCCTCTCCAGGCAACAGTATCCATAACTTTGGAACTGAAGATCAGGGCTCCTTGCCTAACAAAGGACTTTAGTCTTTGCATTTCCAGGTTCCAGAATAGTAGTAACGTGTGGTTTGGATGCTGAAACATTGGCAGTTGAAGGGAAGTGGTTTGTACATACTCTATAGCACACTGTCTAATAGCACAGAATCTAAGAGGAGGAAGCAGTGCTGGCTGTCAGCCATAATGAGCTCAGCCAGACCCAGGACATCCTCTGATCTGACAACTGGGGGCTTATTGCTGGCTCCCAGGATTAGGGGGATCTCCAAGTTCCTAGAATCAACTCGGGCCCAGAGGAAAAGAAGCAGCTAAATTCATAAGCCTCAAATGACAGGGATAAATCTCTTTTCGCTCCCCCTACATGTGGTTTTCTGTAGTACTAAGAAAAGACTACATTCCTGAAGGTAAGTTCTGTTGCCATAAGAAACAGACCCCCAAATCTAATGACTCAAATACATGAGAGGCCCCTGTTTTGCCTGCATATCAGTACACGTGAGTGGACTGGCTAAGTCCACTCCCACATTCATCCTGGGATCAGACAGACAGAAGCTCTGCCATCTTCCACATGTGGCTTCCAAGGCCTCTTTTAGGGATTACCTCCATTCCCACAGGGGAAGGGTAAGAGCAGGAAGGAGGCCGGGTAGGTTACTATAGGCCAGGCCTGGAAGTGATATACCTCTCTTTTCTCATCCTGTGAGTCAGTCTATCAAGGACAAAACCTAACTATGCAGGTGGCCAGGAAATGCAGCTAAGTTCAGGAAGAAGAGGGTAGAAAATGGATTCAACTGGTATCTCCCTTGGTGACCTAAGTCTGCGCCTCCCTAGTTTTTCTCCTGTGCCTCTGCTTGCCACTTCTCAGTCCCTTGCAGACTCTTGCTATATACCTCTCTCTCTTAAACACCGATGGCCCCCAAACCTTCCTGTTCCTGCTTCATAGCTTTAACCAACAGCAACCAGCTTCACCTGTAGTCCAGACCTTGTGAAGATCATCTCCCAGCTTCCATGAAGAGTCAGACCCAGATGAGATGATGAGAGAAGAATTGGAGGGGCCTGGATAGCCAAATGTAAACTGCATTCATGAGGAAGGAGAGACTTGGGGGCAGAGGCCAGAGTGACCAAAGCAAAGAGGGATGCCGAGTCATCTCTCATACCTAGAGGCTCCTAGAACCTCCCCAGGTAAAGAGGCTTTCTGGTTCTCATCTAGGCAGGTCCCAGTGAAACCCTGCCTTTATTTAGGCAATATGGTTCTTTGTTCCACTAACCAAAAGCCAGACTCAAACAGTGCCCAGCATGGCAGAGCCAGCTTTCTACAATGTTACTTCCTTCCATGCCACAGGGGTCTGTTTTGCTGACAAGCACCTGCCCAGCTAGGGAGGCCTTGCCCAGCCTCTCCTGCTCCTGCTCATGGGTGGGGCCAAATTCTCAGAGAAGCACAGTAAGCAGCAGTGGTATCTGTCAGTTCATAAGCAAGAGTGACTCCAGTGGTATCTATCACTTCATAAGCAAGAGTGACTCCTGCCCCTCTTCCTAATCAAGGAAAATCAATCACCAATCAAGTCTATATGGAGGTGAGTTTGATGCAGGAAATATAGCAAACAAGTAAAGATAATAAGCATTATAGAAGGAACATAAGGTATCAGGGGGAAAAAAAGAAAAACTGAGAGACAAACAAAGGTAGTAGAGTAAACATGAAAACAATGAACAACTATAAACCAGAGACGTTTTATGGGAGTGGAAGGGGGAATGGGGTCAGAGCTGGGGTGAGAAGAGTGCACTGGACTGTGGTGATGGCACACAGGTGAAGTGATGGTGGTAAGCCCATGGGGATTGCAACTGAGGTGAAAAAATGCACAAAATGAAGAATGATGTAAAAAAATTAAATTTTTTTTAGAAAGATAATGAGCACAATGGAGCTGTTTCTCATGGACAGGAAGGAGGTACAAATAGGGAAAGAGAAACTATATGGAGTTGAATTCAAATTGCAACTATTAGCATTAACTTGTGGCTCTCAACATAGAGATAAAAATAATTGTAGATGAAAGCTTTGTCTTACAAGAGAGCCTGAAAGCAGCCACTCTCAATCCAGAGAGCACACTTAGAACCTGGATCTTGGCTTCGAAGTAATAAGACCCTTGGAGAAGCAATTGATTTCAGGGAAAGTACAAAGTGAAGCCTAGAACATTTTGAAGGAAGTACTCGAGGAATGATAGGGGATGTCAAAAGAACACAGAAGGTAAGTTGGAATACACTCTCATTGGCCAACATGGGACAATTTGAACAACAAAATAAATATGGAATATAACCCATGGAATAAGTATGAATCCATGAGTCCACACAGATAGAACTACACCTGGAAAGAACAGAAAGCTCTTCTAACAAAATGCTGACTAACAAATGTAGGAGAAATAATGAAAATAAAAAAGTAGCACTTTGCAACACTGAAGTTATTCAGACCGGCCTATCAATGGATGATAAGTATAGCAGGTGAAAGTAAAATAGGAATGTATTTTACACAGTCTCAGAGTATTGCTACGCAAAACACTTAAATCCAGAAAATAGGAACTTCACAATCCCTGCAGGCACCCTCTGACTCCAATGGGTGTTATGAGCTGGAATGGGACAAATACACATCATAGGCTACCCAACAGGACTGACACAATAAGGTGCATCACACATGACACGCAGCCTAAGATGCAGACAGTCATGGCACATGGTTACACTTTTTTGGTTACAAAGAACATCACTGGGGCATTTGGCCAAACGGATGGGTGAGAGGTATATGGGGATTCTTGAAATTTTTCTCTAAGTTTGAAATTGTTTCAAAATAAAATTTATTAACAAAAGAAACAGGGATATCTTTTCTCTTTTCCCTGTATACCAATCAAGTAGAAGACCTGTCAGAGAGGCCCCTGGGACCCCAGACCTGATGACAGCTGCATGAAGGAAGGAGCCAGGGTCCCTCAATCTCTACAGCACAAGAGCCACCTTCTCATCCCAGTTAGATACACTTATTTGTCTTAAGAGATTGAGTTTAATGGGTGGGTCGGGGGGGAGGGGATCTTTTTACTGCATTATCCAAAATTCTAAAATCAGTCTAATTTATGCAACAGTTTGTTGTATTTCTCAACTTGATATCCCACAGACACAAATTTGTCAGCCACCCATCATTACTCTAACAGGAGATCTGGGCACTGTTTGACCTTTCTCTGTACCTGCACTGGCCCATCTGATCAGTCCCCCCTCCTGTATTATTGCTTGAACTTCTCCACACACCCCTGGTCCAACCTTAGCCAACTTCTCCTTCCCTAGGGCCACTGGAATTAGTTCTCCAATCTCTAGTCTGGCTCCCTCCCACTTTCAATTACTCAGCACTCCCAGAACATACAGGTAACTTCACTGGTCCCTGTCCTGGCTCCCACTCTTTCAACCTGGACACCTGGTTTCCAGTCTACTTGGTAAGCACTAACTCTGCTTTCAGGGTTCTGCTCATGAATTACCTTGATGAAGCTTGCCTGATCCTCCATCCCTGGGCCCCTGGACATACAGCCCGAACAGGACAAAGCTGCTCTGTTCAAGAATGGCTGACACAGCAGTCTACCTATAGCTCCTTGGTGCCAACACAGGGAATAAGTCCTGCTCCTCCTAATCTCAGCAGACACACCTCAGCTCACCCCTACCAACATTCATTCACTATGGCACTTCTCTCAAGCTAACTTTGCTCTCTGGACACACCCTTAATCTATAAAGAAGACAATTATCACGGAACTGTTCTATGTTTACTCGGAGTTAACACTCAATAATTAGATTTTAGAAAAAAACAAATTACTTCTAGAGAGTCTCTGCTTAGAATTAGCCTCTCAGTCCCCCCACTCCCAAGTGGCATCCACCTTTCAATGATCATTTCCTGAGGCGCCACATGTGCGGGGCCCTGGGCATACAGTGAGTGTCCTGACTGGAAGGGTTGGTCTGAACACCTCCTTGGGGACTGCCTTGGCCTCATTCATCCTGGAATTCCCTAAATCCCACCCATCCCAGGAGTCTAAAACAAGCCGAGCACATCCTGGACCTTCTAAACCACCTTCTGGGAGCTATAAACCCTACTCAGTGCTGGCAGGTTCTATGACCAGCTACTAAGGGCCAGTCTGGCATGAGACTGATCCCAGGAGATCAGCACCCTTTACCCTGACAAGAGAGCAATACAGAAAGGTGTATTTCTGTGCTTGATGCTTGCCTGTTCCTAATTCAACTATAGAAACAAAGAAGAAAGGATCTGATATACAGAAGTGCAGATGTTTTCCCACAGGTCATGTTTATTCCCAAACCCCAAATAGACTATTCCATCCACCAACATCCCTGAGACCCATTTTAAGGGCTGGAAAATTAAGGCACTGCGTCTACGCGGCCCTATAGGTCAGTGACCCCTGACATGCCAAGACCCAAGTCTGCCAGAACAGAACACGGAGATGCTCCTCTTGCCTTTCATCTCTGGTCCTCAGAGCGGGGCCCCACGTGTGCCAGACCTGGGTACACAGTGAGTGTCCTGACTGGCAGGTTTGGTCTTCATATCTCCTTAACACCTCTCTACTGAGGCTTCTAAGGAAGCTGGGTGCTCCCTGTCATCCCAATGCTGGCTGGGAGCAGAGGGCTCAGAACAGCAGCAGCTCCAGACAGGGAAGAGCTGTGGAGCCAGGCTGGGCCCGTCTTCCAGCCAGCACCGGTCTGTCAGCACCAGGGCCCTTGTGTGGCTGTGGTGGGGCCCCCAGAAGGGGAAACCAAAGCTGAATCTAGTGCCAGGGGCCTTAAAGAAGTAGGGGCTCAAGAAAGCACCTTAAACAGGCTGCTAAGTTGCAGACTTACGAAGCTGAGGAACATGTGATCCAGATTCCAGAGCTGAGCACAATGAGTGTGACAGGCAGGCGGCCCCACAAGGAAGGGCACACTACTTAGGACATCAGACTGCCAGTCTTGGCACTTCTTGGGGCATAACATGGTGGCTCTTCTCTTGAGTGGTGACACAGTCTCAGAGCTTACTCCTTGGGGCCTCTGGCAGGGGCCGCTGCAGCCGCCATACCACCCTCACAGGCTCAGGGGCACTGTCCAGCGCCCGGAGACCACCCAGGTCGCCTGTCTGGCTGTAGCGTTGCAGGGCAGGCTGCAACACTGTGATGGGGATGCTGAAGTTCAGGTGGGGGTACGTGGCCCCTGTGTTGTTATCCCGGGTGTTGCTGGCCACGATGCCTGTTGAGAAGTCAGAGAGGAAAAAAGGGTGTGAGTGGGAGGACAGACATGAGTGGGAGGACAGACATGGGTGGGAGGACAGCCCATCCCACCCTTGAGTTCTAGGTTTCTTGAGGGCTTGAGCACCCTCATAGCGACAATTACTGGGCTTGGGACACTGGACACCCCATGTTCTGGCCCCCTTGTTCCAGTTTCACTTTCTCCTTAACAGCATCAGCATCTCACTTACCATGTGCTTATTTTGTTTCTGTTTTTTTTTTTTAAAGATTTATTTACTTATGCATACAAGAACTGGAGTACAGGCCAGAGGTGTGGGGGATGAGAGGATTCAACAGAGACACAGTGGGGAGCAGAACAGGTAGAACAACAAAGCACAGTGCTAAGGGGAGCAGCAGGCAGGACAGGAGAGATCTGTTGCACCATGTGGGTCAGCTCCCTGGCTGGGGATCACACTCATGCTGCAGTGGCTGTGGACAGCTTCACAGTGCCATGCTTTAACTCCTTGCAGCACACCAGGGAGGGCCCCATCTAGCTTTTGTTCTTTCTCTATAGGTACTGTCACCTCCAAGAGAGCAGAGCAATGCAGGTTGTAACAAATGGATCTCGCTGTGTTACAAGTAAATCCAGCACACCCAAGGTGAGGGAGAGGGAGAAGCCAAACTAAGAAACTAGCAAGAGTGTTTTGCAGGGACAGTTTAAGGCTAAAGATAAAAAGGTTGCACTCCCGGACTATGGTGATGGCACACGGGTGACTCGGTGATGGAAAACCCATGGGGATTACAATTGAGATGAAAAAAAAATTGTACAAAATGATGTAAAAATAAACTTATCTTATTTAAAAAAAAAAAAAAAGGCTGCACTCAAACACCTCACTCTGGTTGGTACATTTGTTTCTCACAGGGGTGTGGGTTAGTATTTCTGAAGCTACTTCATTTATATACCAGGGTTGGAGAAGTAAGTAAATCAACTGTCGATGGCCCAGAGAAGCCTCTCACACAGAGGCAGCAGTCAAAAACGAGGAGAGGGGATGCTGCTGCTGAGTCCTCTTGGCCTCAAGGTTGATTTTTTTTTTTTTAAATAAACAGACTGTCTTATTAAAAATCTGAACTACTTGCCAATTTTAAAATACAAAGATTTGGCCCTCCCTGGTGGTGCAGCGGGTTAAAGCACAGCACTAAGAAGTTAAAGCCACTTCACAATGAGCTTGATCCCCGCTTGCCCCAGAGGCGACCACATGGCGTGGCAGACCTCTCCTGACCTGCCCGCTGCTCCCCTCAGCAGTGTACTTCGACGATCTGCCTGTTCTGCTCCCCACTCTGTCTCTGGTGAGGCCTCTCACCACCCCTTCACCTCTGGCTTGTACCCCAGTTCTGTATGTACAAATAAATAAATCTTAAAAAAAAAATTAAAAGATTTAACTATCATTTTTTTCAATTCACATTTTGTGGGGGAAAACTGGAGAATCGGCATGTGGCACAAGGTGCTGGAGCTGAGTGGTGCTCACCCGGTCACCCCTCGCCTCTCCCGGCCACTGTCTTTCCTGGCTCACTCGTTAGCTTTACCAGTCCAGCCTCTGTAGGCTTTTGCGTTTGCAACCTTTGCATTAACCCAACTACAGAGCTTCACAGACAAATGAGGTTAAGTGACTTACTAAGACTGTGCCTTAGAGGCAGTGACTTAGAGGCAGAAAAGGAGCCAGACTGGGGTCTCTTCCCTCCTGGCTAAGCATTCATCCTTTTCCACTGCCTCCAACTTCCAGATAGAGGGTGGCCCCAGGGCTGTCACGGAGTGCTCTCTGGGTGAGCCTCAGGCTCTGCCATGGGAAAGTCGGGGGGAGGGGCCAAACAGTGCTTACCCAGGAGGTCCCCTGAGTAGGTGGAGAAGAGGGGTCCCCCACTGGAGCCTCCGTGCACGGCACACGTAGTCTGCAGCATCACCGGCATGTCCTCCACCTGCACCACAGCCGACAGGATGCCTGAGGTCACCGAGGGACCACAAGTCTGGCCGAAGACACCAAAGCCCACCACACTGACAGCCTCACCTGCCAGGAAGGGAAGGGGAGTGAACCTTGGGGTCTCTTCTGACTGCCAGGACACATAGTCCCCACCCCCACCTCTGCCCTTCAGCATTCTAAACCTGCTCTGACCTTCAAGTTTCTGCTCACAGTCCTGCTTCCAGACAGCATCCCCAGGGCCCCACGGGTGGCTGCCATAACCCCCACTGAGCTCCCAGTATTGTAGCTGCTGCATTCATTTCCCTGCAGGACTGGTCAGTCACTTTTTGGCGTCCCTAGCACACAACAAGGTGCTCAATGAATGTTTATAGCATGAACCGCCATCTTCTCATGGAACTAAGAAGTATGTTAGTGAGAAAAGAAAAACGGTGATGTCTACCAAGCAACTACCACCTTCCTTTACAAAATACTTGGACTCCACAGGGCACAGGGCAAAGAGCTTCACAGATATCTCACCCACTCCTCACACAGCCAAATGTAGGAACCATTTATTCTCATTTCACAGTTGTGGAAATTGAGACAGAGAACCTTAAGTTGTCTGTCCAAGGACATAAAGCTAGTAAGTGGCAAAAGAGATGGCAACTCCGTCATTCTATCTCACACTGTACCTACAAAGTGAGACCATAGCTACTGTGGCATCACAGAGTCTGACTCAAAGCATGTCGCAGGGGCCTCAAAATTCAACACCTGTCTGACCAGCCTGCAATGTGCCCTGAGGCTCAGCACCTCCAATGACATTGCTGCAGGGCCCAGGAAAGAGGGGCCTTACCCTCTGCTGGGGATTCCCCATGCCCCTAACACCTTGGGGCTGCTAGGCAAGAGCAGGGAGGCCTCCAAGAGCAACTCTAGCCTGATGCCACCCTGATTCAGTACTCCAGAGAAGTGGAAAGGGGAGCTGGCCTGGGGGACTGGGCCCCAGTCTGAGGGGTGCAGGGCCCAGTCCTGACTCTCCTTCCTAAATTTGCCCAGACCAGAAGGCACCCCTTGTCCTTTACCTTCATGGAAATTCGCAGCGGGCACAGGTCTGGGGACCCCATCTAGCTCTTCCTCCAGACTCACCACCGCTATGTCATAAGGAGACGTCTCCTGGGTGGCAAACACCACACGTCCCCAAATATGGACACTCCTGGGGTAAGGGAAACAAAATCACATGTGAGCTTTCTGGCCTTTAGCACTGGGAGGAAGCAGGATGGGTGACAGTAAAAGTCATGAACTTGGGAATTGAAAGTCTGAAGTCACCCCGAAAACTGCCAGTCAGGCAACTCTGAACATGTCACTCAGTAGTGTTTCCAAAGATGCTTTACAAACTGTAGAGCACTTCTTTATAACGTTTCCTGGCCCTCACTCCCTAGTATCACAAACACCTATCACCCTCGTGAGCACTGTGAGCCAGGACTGGTGCTAATGCTCTACGGACATCATTTAGTTCTCACAGCTGCCCTATGAACCAGGCACTAATATTATCTCTATTTAAGTCGGTGCCATTTCAGGCCGAGAGAGGCTAATTAACTTCCCCAAGGCCACAAAGTAAATGGTAGGGCCTAGGACACACATTCCCAACATCTTCATCATCCCATGTGACACTCACAATGCCAAAGGTTGGTGGGACAGAAATATCATTCCACCACTCTGGGTCCTTATCTCTATAAATACTAGCACTTCTACAGGAGTTAAGGCCGTTTACAGAGTTAGTGACTTGCCCAAGGTCACACAGGGACTTCCTGCTACTTGCTCTACAGGGGCAGCTTCCAGTACACCTGGAGGCTTTCTGAAGAGCAAGTGTGTGTGGTAGGGGAGAAGGCATAAGGGAAAAGGGGGAAAAGAGTAAAGATTGGGGAATCACATACAGGGAAATGCTCATGATAACTTTTCCCTATAGAAAGCATGATTATCCTGGGAGATTCATAAGGCATAATCACGCTGGGTGAACCTCAGAAATTCAGCTGACAGATTTGGGAAGGCATACAAAGTAGGGCTGAGCCACACAGGAAAGAATTGGCACCAATACCTAGGTACTGTAACTGTTTTGCTTTGACCTAAGTTAAGCATCTGGGGCTACAGAGGAAATAGAACATGTACTAGAAAACTAAGCCTATACTTTCTGAGCAAGTGAAAGTATAGGAGGGCAAGAGTACTTTTCCCTGGAGGGAAACAAATAACTAATATCCTAACCTGGTTCTGGATGCCCACCAGGAGCATCCAGATGGTGTTTAAACAGGTCAGTCTGCCTGCGCCCCACATCCTACTCTAATTAGGCGGAACCTCACACCTGTAATTTTGGTCCAGAGGGGAGTTCTGGTTAAGATCTAAGAGATAAATAAAAAAAGACTAACAGAATAAACTGTTATTAAAAAGTAAAAAAAAATTAATTAAAAAAAAAAAAAAGACTAACAGACAAATCTCATTACCCAAGGAAGAGCCCCTATGACTTCACCACCACATTCAGGAGAGAGGGCAAGGTTAGGAAGTCTCCAGTCAAGGGCCCAGGTGGTGTGGGTACAGGACTGAGATAGAGAAACCTCCCCCAAGGAATTCCGACTGTGAAGGGGCACTCAAATACGCCAGCCCACGATGCAGATCCCCACTGTTCCCAAAGTCAGAGTCGCCTGGCACCTTGGTCCAAGTACCACTCACTCCCTGCTGGAGAGGTTCGGTCTGGGAGCCCCTTCTCTAACCACCAATGGCCAAGCCAGGCCTACACCATCCTGAGGACTGAGATCTGAGACCTGGGGAGGGGGCAGGGTGCTAGCAAACGTACTTGGGGGTGGTGGACCAAATCATGACCCTGGCCCCCTCCCGAGGGGCGACATGACGGCAAGTCACCACAAGGCGAGGCGTCACCACCACTCCGGAGCCCCAAACAGTGCCACACTCCACCAGCACGGCTGAAGCTGCCCAAGGGGGCACAGAGTCTTGGCGCGGCAGGCCCCACGGGGCGCCCTCTTCGGGGGGCAGGAGAGCAGCCAGGGCAGCAGCGTCAGGGGACAAGCGGCCGAGCGCCACCCTGGCGGCGTGGATGAGAGGGGCGGCGGCGCAGAGCAGCGAGAGGCCCACCCACTCGCGGGCCTTCCAGCAGAGCGGCGCTGCCACCAGCGCCACGAGCGCACCGGCTGGCCGGACGGCGAACACGCCGCCACCCTCGGTGCCCGGCAGGCAGCGAGCATCGGTGAGCAGCAGCGGGCCCGCCGAGTTGCTCAGCACGCCGCGGCTGAGCGTGTTGAGGAAGATGTCCGGGCAGAAGGCCCCGAACGGGGACCCGCAGGCCAGCAACGGCGCGCCCTTGGGCACAGCCCCCAAAGGCGCCACAGCCACGGCGGGCCCGCGCTCCTTGGCTTCGTCCTCCCGGCCTGGCCGCACTCGCAGCAGCGCGAACCAGCCCAGCGATCTCAGCTGATCCTCCTCCTCCTCCTCCGACACCTCGTCGTCGGGCGCCGCACCCGCGAAGCGCCACAGCTCGGCCGCGTCGCCTCCGAAGAGGCTGGCGAAGTGGGCCCGGAAGGCAGGGCAGCTCAGCAGCAACAGCAGTTCGGCATGGCGCGGGGGCTCCAAGGGCGGCCCGCGAGGCCGGGTCAGTGGGCCCGGCTCCAGGCTGGCGCACTGGGGCGTGCACAGGCCGGGGCGGCCCAGCTCCGCGCGGCCTGGGGAACTGGTGGCCGTTGCACTCCACAGAACATGCAGGCGAAGGTCGTCGGTGCAACTGCTGCCCGGCAGGAAGGCGACGCCTTCCGCAGTCAGCGCCCCGCTGCCGGCTCGCAGAAAAGGGGTGAAGATCCCCCCATGGCACAGCACCAGGCCAGGGCTGCGGCTCAGGATCACCCCACTGCAGCTCCACGAGCCCTCTTCTAGCTGCCCAGCGCGGGAGGCGCTCACCACGCAGCCCGTCATTTCCGCCGCCCTCATAGCGGACCCCCACCGCCGCCCCATGGCCTCCGCGACGGCGTGCCCGGGGTTCTAGGAGAACCAGGCAGCTCGCCGGGAACACAGACGCTACTCGCTTACACCACGCAGCGCCACCCACCACTGGCAGGCAGCCGCGCAATCTCTGACTCCGGTCTTCCTCCTCGGACGCGATTGGCTAAACCTCCGCAGGCCTGATTGGCTAGGACTGAGGCTGCGTCCTCATTGGCTGCTGAAACTGACGCCCTCCTCTCTCCCGTTGGTTTGTCCCACCTGTACGACGTAGGGGACGCATTCCCGAAGGTCTGGCTAGGGGATAGCGACTGGCGTCTGGCTTTACTCAGAATGGGTGGGGGAAGAGGGAAAAGGCGGGTAACCCTTTGGAGCTTGATTTCCTATAAGTTCTGGAGAGTCACTGGCATGGCTCGACTTGCCCCGGCCATGGCAGTACCTGTCAATATCCGCCTACATCGAGAGGACATTTGCTCTCTGATCCCTGGGGTAATAGAGGCAAAGAAATCCTTGGTAACTCAGTATTTTGTACTTTGTAAGTAAATCCACTAGGCGGTTGGCGCTCACTAGATTACATCGAGAGCCTTTTGATGCCAAAGTTCTTCCCAGCTTGACTATAATGAACAGTACCTGAAGTGAAGGGAAAAAAGTTTATGTATTGTATTTTGCAGTATGTACATTCACATTATAACCACCACTCAGGATGTATCTAGGTCAGGTAAGAAAATATAAGAGCCCAAATATAAAAAGTTCTGTTTTGGGGCCACCGGACATCCACTTCACTCAAATCTGCGGTTGTATTTAGCAGGCAAAAGCTAAACAGTGGGGAAGGCTGTGTTCCAATGAAACTGTACTTAGGTACACTTAAGTTTGAATTCCATATACTGTCTGTTCTATGTCAAAAATAGCATCCTTATGATTTTTTCTCCGCAGGTAAAGTGGACCAGATTTGGCCCAAGACTTGCAGTTTGCCAGACTTGATCTAACTAAAATAGCATAAAACATTAATTTTCCAAGGAATAAAGGAACACTGAGGATAGAGAAACATTGAAGGTTTTTGTGATATCCCAAAACTTTCACCTAGCTAACATTATCACTCAGTCACTAGAATACACATTAATTGTAATGATTGTTTTTGTACATATTTGTCTGCAGTTACAAAAATATTCAGTTACTGCGTAAATTACATAACTTCTCTGCTTCAATTCCTTTACCAAATAAATGCTGTCTGCTATATCCATACAACATAAGGTAGTAAAAGCACTCCCAAATGGCCCAGGGTCAAACCAGTTTAAGAGAAGTTCTGTCACAGTGGGGCCAGTGGCAATGAGCAGTTTTCACATAGCAGGCACATTCTTTTAGTTCTGTGATGCAGAAGATGGCTTGATCACACAAATCTCTCAACTACCCCAAGTTCCTAATTAAGTTTTCTTTCTCTCCAGAGTCCAGTCATTCTCCCTTGATGACGCTCAAGACTCCAGGATGAACTGTTATGCGTCAAGCATTTTTGTGTTTATGGCACAACCCAGCGGTCCCAAGCCACAGCCAAGAGCTGAGGTGAGACCTTTCAAGTGCTAGGCTCATTGATGCCGCCTTTAAATCGCCTGTTCCATTCTGACTCAAGTAACACAAACAACCCCACAGTGAACACAAATCCATGGCATCCTTTCATAGAAGACATTTGTTTCAATCACAGGATGTCTCCAATAATTTATACTCAAGTCAAAAAGAACTTGTTTTATTTGCTTCCCATTCAGTTAGTTCCAGCATTTTCTCAACTCAAAGCTTCCTACAAGCCTAGGTAAATCACAGGAACAGGTTTCATTCCTTCCCCTATTTTACCAAATTTGCATTCAACTGAGTAGCTCCAAAAGTACATAAAATGGAGACAGAAACGCAGTCTAACTAGACCCAATCCTTGCTAGCATGTTAACAAATTTTTCTCAAAAGTGTGCAGTGCCCATCCTGAGATGACCACCAACCCTGGGACTTCCACAATTTCCAGGACTTTAACGCAGTATTGTTTTGGACTTCCTGTACAATGTGTGAATTGCCCTAGTTGTTATTTCCTGGTAGCAAAATTTAAGTTTCTCACACCTTTATAAATATTTCTTCCCACAAATAGAAACTTTTGCTTCCCCCTCCAATGTTTTTTTTTAGATTTTACTTATGCGTACGTGAGATGGGGTGTAGGCCAGAAGTTGGGATGGCAAGAATATTCACCAGAGGCAGAGTGGGGGGCAGAACAGACAGAGCTACTAAAATATACTGATGAGAGGAGCAGCAGAAGAGCTCTGCTGCCACTACATGGGCCAGCTCCCTGGCCACAGGTCGAACTCATGCTGCAGGCTGCTAGTGCTGAGACTTAACCCCTGGTGCCACAGGGAAGTCCCTCCCCCTCCAATGTTTGCCATGTCCCCCACATCCCGAGAAGCAAGATACCAAGTTTGATTTAACTTTTTATTAAAATGCTTAGGATACAGATTGACCTTTTTTGTAAATGACTGTTTTACTTTTGCTGAAATAGGACATATATTGCACTGATAAATCCAAATGAAAAGTCTCAATTCATGGGAGTTTCTGTACAAAGCTCTGATCCTCACTGTTAGAAGTCAAGCCCCTCACAGCAGCTTCCTTCTGCTATCTTATAGGAACAGTGTTTTCTGTGGAGGCAAGAAACAAATTGGTGCTATTGACTTTTTAATCCTCTTTCTCCAGTGGCCAAAATAAAACACTTTCACAAGAGTTGCCCTCTGCAGAATCCATGGTTTTCTAGCTTACTACAAAGTCACTAGGAATAAAAGAAAACTTAACACTGAAGCAATTATACTTCTCCCGTCTCTGGAGAGAGAAGTATGGGTTACCTTTAGCCAAAGGAAATTAAAAGTATGCAAGTTAATTATTTCATTCACCATTAGCTAGATTTGTTCACTTAGGGTTTTAACTTCTTTCCAAACCAACAACTTTGTCCCAAACCAGCTATACTTGCTAATAATGAAATGCATGCTCTTCCAGGATTTATACTTCACTGAGCCTCTGCATTTGGTACATGGCAGTGAAAAAATATACTTTCCCAACAGGTCAGGACTGAAGATTAACAATGAAAAACTGAGCTCAAGAATATCCTCACCCCAGGAAGATATCCTCACCCACCTTCCCATCCTCACTAGAAGCAAGAGTCCACTTTGACTGGGTCTTCTGCAGAGAAGCATCATTGTCACAATTTTCAATTCTGAGGAAACTACTTCTAGCCTTTCATGAGAGGAAAAGTGAGTGAAGATCACTTTCCATCCTCAGCCCATTTCCTACCCCTTCAACTTTCACTACCAGAGTGGAATATTGGTTAAGATCATAAAAATCCAATTTCATACATGGCAGTAAGAAAATGGACTGCTATAAAAATAATCCTTGTCATTTCACTAGGGATGCTGAGGCTTTACACTGTGCTTACTAACAGTTCTACACAAAATTCTTGGATAAGAGTTTCCTCAATTCTGAAATGGAAAAAGGCAATTTCATACCAAAAATGGGAACAAATCTGGAAGAGCTACAGATATCAGCCTTTATAAACATCCCAAACTGACAGCCAATAAAAAGACAGAGCTCATAGTCACCAATTCTACAAGCAGATATTTTAAAGTCCAAATAAATCTTTCCAAGTCAGCCACATGGTACAGTATCAGATATTTAAGTTGTCAACTCACAGAATGCAAGAGCCCTTACGCTATGAACTTTGTCTGTGGATTCTCTTATTCAGAAAAATTTCTTCTAGAATCTGTGCAAAAGTAACTGAGACACAGCTGCAGCATATGACATGGGAGATGTTCTCAACTCTTATGAAGTGAAAGTTATTTTTTATAACTGAAAATGGAAAAGGTGCTATAGAGAAAAACGAATGTTACAACAGTTCAAAGCAAAAACTAGTTCAAATGTATAACTTTATAAGTAAAAAGAACTAAACTCACTCTATAATTTAAACTCCAGCAGTGAACAACCTGCCATGCATTCCATGATGAGATGACCATGGCTTGCCACAGCAGAAATCTGCTACAATTACAAGCCCAGGGTTCTGTCCTTTTCTTGTTCTCTGTACAAAGTGATGCCACCTACAAAGGCAAAGTCGGGGACCGCCCTGTTGCCAATGCCAATCGGACTTTGTTCCCCTGACTTGAGTTCTGGCCTCCAGCATATATCTGTGCATAATTTTATGAACTATGTAAATGCCATCCACTAGATTAAAAAATAAAGGAATAGAAAGCTCTGGACCAAGTAAATTGTGAACTTAAAAAGTTAGAAGGGACACCAATTACATTAACAACACTTTCTTTAAAAAATAGAATCACTTTCTTTTGAAATCAACCACAGTGGTGAGACGTGTTTTTCTTTCCAGGTGCCCCACGGTGGCAACAGCTTTACCCAGCAAATCCTACCAGCTTCCAAGTCCTGGGATGCTGACCTGCACCAGCACGTGGGGCAGCGTTACCTCCCAACAGTGTGGAGAAGAGCACATATCACCACTGGGCGATGAGAGAGCTGACAGAGACTCTTGGCTTCTCAACGCCAGACATGGTTGGAGAGCTTTCCTTGCTCTATTAGAAAAGTTCATGAGGAAGCTGTGAATAGGATCAGTCCAGAGAAATAAAACTCTTTTATTTGACGGTCCACACATCAGTCAATATACTGCGAGAGCCAGCGGAAGCCCTCTCCGTAGCCTTGCCTCTTGAGCACACTGCACATGAACACTTCCATGGGGCGGGCGTTCAACTCCTTCAGGGTCACGTTTCCCTAAGGAAGGCAGAACCAAGAAAGGCCTGTTAATGTCTCCATGGCTGACGAGTTTGAAAGGGTAATCACAAATCTCACTTTCGCCATCAGAAGCAAATCTAATTAGGGATTCATTGTAGAAGTGTAGTCAAGGCCAGCTAGATAACGTCCCTTGGGCTTCGAGCTCTCAGGATAGAGTAAGCACCACAATCCCTCTCACTCTGTGAAAAGCATTAGCTCTGAGTACCCCCAAGTTAAGCTGCAAAATTATGACAGCAAAATAATAAAAAGGCCACAGGGACCACAGAACCAGTATGTTCTTTGATGGA